CTGCAGGATTTCATATTCTTTGCCTCTTTCTGTTACGTCACGTAGCTACAAACATAATTATTTTTGCAATTGTCACAATGCCATACACACCATACAAATCGCACAACAAATTATTTTTGTTTCGAACTTCTCCATTACTGTCATCTTTATTATTGTGTCAACTCACGTTCACATACACCTTTTTAGGAAAATATCACCTTCCTATTATTACATTACTTATCTTACCGCTTTCGTCACTGCAGGATTTCATAATCTTTGCCTCTTTCTGTTACGTGCACTACCATACACAATATATTCACCATGCTAACCACATTAACGTACGCACAATTCCTGAAACACACTACTATATACATCATGGTATAGACACAATACCATACACACCATGTTATACACGATACCATACACAATACTATACACAGTGTATAGTCAGGTGTTTACAGTTTTGTGTAGGCTATTGTCTATAGCATGGTGTGTATGGTATTGTCTAAAGTTTTGTGTGTATAGCATGGTGTGTATGGTATTGTGCGGTTTTAATGCGGTTTTAGGAAAGGGCGGTCCTGCACAGATGCCATATTTTCTGTCAGTCTGCTACAGCTGTGAAGGGAATTCCAACAAGACCTACATCTCTGCTTTATTGACCTGGTCAAGTCCGATAACATCAGTAGGCCTGGCCTCTGAGTTGTTATGCGTGCTTTCGGAGTCCCTCTGCTCACGATCATTAAGGACCTTCATGATGGTGAGCGGGCCCGGGTGAAACTACGTAGCCGGGAGTCGGAGCCATCCCCTGTACACCTTGGGGTGCGACAGGGATGTTCTCTGGCTCCCACATTATTTTACATCTATTTTTAACACGTAGTTCGTGAAGCTTTCAATAGCTGTGCTGGAGGAATTTCCATCTGGTACAGATACAATGGGAGGCCGATCGATGCCCGGGTGCGGTCAGAAAATGGCTCCCTATTGCTCAACAATGTTAGGTATTCATTGTTTTTTTCGGTAAAGTCACGTATGTAGAAATACCATAAAATTATATTAAAATAAATCAATCACGACGTTTCGACCGCAACACACGCGATCTTCATCAGGTGTATGCCGATGATCTGGTAATTGATCTGGTAATTGCTGCTCACTCAGATGAGGAGTTGGAGGCGCTGCTGCTAAATCTGGACCTTGCCACGAAGAAGTGGGACCTTGCCATCAGCCCCACCAAAACTAAGCACCTGCCTGGGTAATTTGTACCCATACCTGGGCAGTGTGCTCATGACCGGCTCCGGTTTAACAGCACAGGTCTCCGAAAGTCGAGTGGCGTTGTCTTTTCATCGGTTGCGTAACGCTGTGTGGAAGCTTCAAGTCTTCTCGGCCAGTCATTCCCTCCTTTCTCTACGCTTGCGAAACGTGGACCCCCCTAATGGAACATCTTTGCCGGTTAGAAAGATTTAGGCTGGCCTGCCTACAATCCATCCTGGGTCTAACCAGGCTGGATTGTGAGGAGCTCACAAATCCTTTAAAGATGTGGACAAAGTCCCATCGGTGAGCTCCTCCAGCAGGCAAGGCTGTGTTGGCTGGCCCATGTAGCCCGCATGTCCAGCCACCGCATGCCTAAACAGCTTTTGTTCGGCCGGATCGTCGGGGCTAAACGGGCGCGGCACGGGCTAGAGAAGAGATGGAGTGATGTGGTACAGGAGGACATGGAGCTGAGTGGACTTGCCGATGACTGCTACCAGTGCTGTAAAGATCGGCCTCTGTGGAGGAGGCTCGTGAAGGACGCTACTGGCCAGTTGGAGGCAGTCGTCCTCCAACAACAACGGAGGGCGGAGGAGCGACGCTCACAACGGGCGGAGCACCGGGTGGCTAAAGCACAGCAAGTTGGCACAGTCGGTGCATCAGCCAGTCGTCTCAGTCGACCTATCGTATCTGGGTCTGCCCCGTCACCTGCCAGTGGGCATTCGACACGTCGTGGCCTCAAGGTGCACATGGCCTGCTACAAGCGTCGTGGTGACGTCACCACCACTTCGTGCCGAATGCCAGTTGTATGGTATTGATATTTTTTACACTTTTCATTTTTTTCTACGTGACTTAACCGAAAGACAATGTACATTTATGTTTGTGTGCAGACAACTTATTTTTCGAATCCTTGCTTCTTTTGCTTAACTCATGTACACACAAACCTGGTATTTTAATAATCACCTTGCAAATATTCACATTTTCGTTTGTGTGCTCACAACTCAATTTATTTATACCTTGCTCTGCGTTTATATATTTGTTGTGTCAAATGACGTTGATAGAAAACTATTTTTAAAATAATCACCTGACAAATATTACAATCATAATGTTTGAGTGCAGACAAATAATATTTCTGTTCCATGCTTCCTCCGCTAAACTCATAGTTCATAGTTAGTTCAAAGTTCATTTATTTGGTATAGCTCTGAGCCATTCGGCTCTTGAATCGGGTGCAACCGCAACAAACAAAAAAACATGAACAAGAAAACATCTTAAAGTGATTATGTGACTGTGCAAACAGAAAATCCAGGAAAAAACATAAAAAAATATTCCTGAAATAGCACCATACACCAACGCTGTGTGCAAAAAATCCCAGTGGGATGCAAGTCAAAATAACAACAACCACAAGACAACTAAGATTAAGGACATCAGTCTAACTCCGTATACAATAAACAAAAACATGGCCAAAACAAAAAGTTTTCGAAATCACCAAAACAAAAGCCATAAATGCAATGTAACAGTGATCATAGGGACTGACCGAATTTTTAACAATAAACTACATAAATAAATTATAACACAAATCTAGAGCCATATTTTAGGCCACTGAATAGCAGTGGCAGCTAGGGGTGTACAACTCCTCTAGAGCAGTTTTGAGTGAAGATCTCATAGCTAGTGATTCAAGTTGCAGTTTATTGGCAGTAGCATTCCAGACCCTGGGGGCATCAATAGCAAAGGCCCTTCCTACGGTTTTTGTACGGCAATAGGGAATGTGAAGCTGGTAGATGAGCGAAGACCTGAGGTCAAATTTGTTCTTTGAAACAGAGAGGAGATCCAGTAGGTAGTCTGCGGATTTTTTGTAAGTACATCGTGAATAAATAAGATCTGGTGCACAAGCCGTCGAACATTGAGATGTTAAGTTTGACCCAATGTAGAGATCACAGTGGTGAGTCCTATATGGGCAGTTCAATGCAAATCGTAAGGCCGAGTGATAGATGGAATCAAGCTTTTTCAGTACAGTACTTGGGGCTGATTTATACACGATGTCACAGTAGTCAAGTAGAGGCAGTATGGTAGCTTTTATCAATTCCAAACGGAACATTGGAGGGAAGCAATGCTTGATTAATACAGAAAACCAATTTTTATTTTTGCCTTTTAATATAATCAATGTGATCTTCAAAATTAAGTTATGAATCCAGGATGACCCCAAGATACTTATAGGTCTTAACATGCTCTATTTGATAATTATTCAAGGAATGTAATTGGGGAAAAATAACTTCCTGCTTTAGTCCCGGTGAGAAGCATAGCACCTTGGTTTTGGAGGTATTCAAGACTAGTTTAAGAGAAACTAGCTGATGTTGTAGTTTGTTGAAATCACCCTGGAGCTTAGCAATCACGTCATCCGGAGAGCAGCCAGCAGTAATCAGTATCGTGTCATCTGCAAAAAGATTTACCCTGGAATGATCCAGGTCAGTGCCCAAGTCATTGACATAGAGAGAACAAGAGGGGGCTGAGGATGGAACCCTGTGGAACCCCTTTTGTTATCTTAATACTGTTTGACCTCCAACCATCTGTGAATAGTTTGGGTGCGAGAAAAGAGGGAATTTTTTAACCATTGTACTGTGTTCTCGGGAAAACCGAGGCAACTTAGTTTACTAAGCAGGGTGTTGTGGTCTACTGTATCAGAAGCTTTGGACAGGTCAAGAAAAAGGCAGGCACAGTACTGCTTATTATCAAGGCTATTGTAAATTTGATTCAAAGAGTCTAATGCAGCAGATTGTGGTGCTGTATTTTTTTCGGAACGCAGTTTTAGATGTAGTAGATTGTTGGTAGACAGGAAACTGCTAACTTGGTAGTTCAATAATTTTTCAAAAAGCTTCATCAATGGGGACAAAATTGAGATAGGTCGGTAGTTATTGGGATCATCTTTAGGGCCCCCTTTGTGAAGTAGACAGACATAGGAATGTTTCCATTCTAGAGGAACTGATACTTTTGATGGGCAGGTTGAAAATATGGGCTATAGGTTTGTATATTAGGTGACCAACAGTTAGTAGAGCAAAGACGGGAAAACTATCTGCTCCGGTAGAGGACCCTTTGAGGTAGGACAGTTGTTTCAGAATATTACTTTTGTGGATTTGTTGGAAACTAAATTCGTTTAATGATTGGACAGGGGTGTAGGAATTTGCAGGAGCAGGGGTGACTCCCAATACATTATCAAAAAGATTACCAGCTTCAGAAAAATGAAGGTTAAAATTGTCAACTATTTTTTGGGGATCTGAAAAATATTCCCCATTTCGGTTAAGCTCAACAGGCAGATTGTCTGTTTTGGATGCCTTTTCGATAGATTTGTTTTCCAAAAAATCCTGGCATTTCCATGTGATTCCAGGAGAGTGGAGGAAAAGTAGGCATTTTTTGCATGCCGTATTTTTTTTACGCATCTATTCCTTAAAATCCTGTATTCTAGCCAGTCATTGACCAAATTACTTTTCTGAGCACATGCCCAAGCCTTGTCCCTAGTTTTCATGAGCTTTGTAATCAAAGGATCATACCATGGTGGGCGGTTGCCTTTTATTTTAAATCATGTACATTGATAGTGTGTGTAAGTCGATGTGTGCGTCTGTCTTTTTCGCCCGGGCAACGCGGGGTACTTACCGCGAGTAGGTTAATAAAGTGTAAGCAGGTGACTTGTTACGTGTCCGTCCGAGTGATGTACGTATGCTAAACTACTTTCGTACCATACGTAGCCAACCGCGCTAATCGGTGATGCAGGGGAAGGACAACAATTGTGTAATTTGCAATTATTTCTCAGCATTAGAATATCTGGTCAATGCCAGTGATTGTATATTCTTGAGTTATGGGAGGAAACCAGAAAAAACAGAGGAAAATCGTTCACAATGCTGTTTACTCTCCAACACGGGTGTGCTAAGTAATTGGCACGTTTTGTTTACGTGACAAACCTTATGAATTGGCTGTTTTGGGTGGTGGCGGGTTTAACGACGCATTTATATTTACGCGATCTATCCCAAACCCCAGGATCTTGTTACTGTGAGGCACGAGTGCTGCCACCGAGCCACCTTGCTGCCAAAGTGCGATCAAACAAACTGCAAACTGACACGGAGTGGGGGTGGCCAACATCTAGCAATGGACATACAAAGGTGTAAAAATTACTTGGCATAAAATATTTTTTTGGGAAAAAAATCAATAATTTATTTAAATATTACTGTTACATTAAGCAAGCACGATGGCGATTTACATATGTTGCATATGAAAGAAAAGCCATAAGATACATTGCTCCAAATGTTATAAAAAGTGGGCAATAACATCGTTAACAATGTATTAACTCCAATCATGGTGGCATGGGTTTAACAAATAAAATGGGGTGAGCAGTTGTATGCATGCCCAGCACACTGGGAAATTCAAATTCACAACAGTAACATTTAGCTGTAAATCTAATAAAATATGACTACGGTGAAGGAATTATAGGCAAATCACCATGGGTGTTGGCAGTTACATAATCAAGCAAATTGTACATCACTACTTTGCTCACTTCTGTAATCGTGAAATAGTTCAAATGCACAACTTTCTGCTATTCACATAACACAGTAAACATGCGGCAGTTTTATAAACAAGGTGGCCCAGATGCTGGATTATGACTGGATTATAACTAAAATGTGAAACACCCATGAACTGTGCGTGCAGGACCTCCCTTGCACGGCTCTCACGATTGTAAATGAATCTGAAGTTGTGGTGATGGTGCAGTAGCAGCGGAGTGAGTGCTAGGCGCTGCACCACCCAGGCCGCCCCCGGGTCTTCACGCGGAGAATGCTACCGAGGGATAGCAGAGCGCTCCTCTGTGGCTGCTTAGCCGTTGAGAGACACGGCGTGAGCACACACCATCACGTTCACCTGCTGCATACACCATCACACACCATCATTGACCTGTTGCACCCACCACCACACCCCATCATTGACCTGCTGCACACTATCACGTTCACCTGCTGCACCAGCACCACACACCATCATTGACCTGCAGCATAAACAATCACGTTCACTTGCTACACTGACCAACCAAATACCACCACACATCATCACGTTTACCTTCTGCACACATCACACACCACCATACACCATCATTGACCTGCTGCACACACCATGTTAATCTGCTGCACCCACACAATAATTGATCTGCTGCACACCCCATCACGTAGACATGCTTGACACACCACCACACACCATCATTGACCTGCTGCACTACATCACGTTCACCTGCTGCACAATGTAATGCATTTAAGCGGACCAGACAAAGTGAATGACAGAAACATAAAATCGGGGACCATCTGTAATTGTGTCAATTGGGATTCTTTTTGGGGCTTTAGGACAGAGACGAGATCCTCTTATGAGACCGTGGGATCATCTACAAATTCCTCATTCAGGCAAGGTAATTTTCATACCCGAAGTCTTTGTGGGGTCCCCTATGACTAACATCGTGAACATATAACGAACCGTTTGTCGGCGGTTTTACCTTCATGCTCTTCTGCACAAGGGCTTCAGTCGTCTCGCACAAAATGGTAAATTGGGGGGGAATGCCCGCGCGGTAGGCAAGGTTTGTCTTGCTGCATGAACCACCATGGTTTCTGAAAAATTTAAAGAGCTCCCGGGAAGCCAGAGACGTGCGTGTAGCGAGAAGGCTAAATGCCCCGTGGTGGTTGTGCTTGTCGTAAGCCGCACTCCACACGAATAAGCCAGCCACTGCTGCTTCGCATGCCAGCCTCAAATGGATGACAGCCGTGCGCCACTACAATCTATTTATACTTTTTATTTTCCCAGGTAAGGCCCAATGGGCTATATAGCTATTTTTCTGAAGTGACCTGGCTATCACAAATGATAGCTCAACCAAGTGGCTTATCATGTGTAAATGTATAGCAACCAAATACTCTAAACCTTGCTGAATTCAAGAAGCATTTTCACCCTCATTTCAACTTTTATCTTGCTGTTTATTGCTGACCGCTTGACATCTTGGGGCTTTAGGCAAGAGCTTAGAAAAAAATACCATCATAGTTTAAAAACAAAAAAAACCTAAGCTAAAGTTGAGATCCATGATGTCCCATACAGTTTGGTTACTCATATAGGACTCTCTTAAAAATGAGCGTTACTAGGGGCAGTGTTGCTTTATTGTGTGGATTGTTACCTTCAGCGCAGGAGATGTGGAGAAACGGACGAGGAGCGAGTTCATGCCTGGCACCGGGTTGAATGAAAATACAAAGTTGTTTTTCTGCAGGTACAGAGGAAGTCGCCAGGGATCAAACACAAATTGTTGGGTTTATCGCGCAATGTGATAGCCACTGCACCACCGCTCCCATGTCCAGAATGTGACCTTGACCCATTGTCAGTTGATATAATCGTAAAGCATTTTAATCAAAATGACCACAATGTACAGGGGATATCTCCTTATTCACAGTGAACATCGCAGATCCCATAAATTTACCCCATTTATCCAAGGGGGAAAAAACCAATGGTAATCGGAAATAAAACGGTGCCTTTACCTATGAACTCCTCTCATCTGTAAAGGATATCGCAGATAATTAGATGAAATTTCCCAAAGTACATGCCAGGAAAAAGTGCGAAAAGTGCCAAAGATTACCAATGGATAAGAGGACAATTTTTGCTGTGAAGATCTTCCTTTCCACAAAAAATAGAAATTGCACTTCACTGAACTGACAATGTTGTAAGAACGTGGCAGGTGTGCTTATATGCCTCCGTGTTAGTGTGTGTGCTGCCCATATGCAGTACACATGATGGACACAGACACGGAGATACAGAGAGCAAGCTATGGTTATACAGTTACACCGGCACATACGGAGATGAGAAAGAGGCGACGGAGATACCCATGCACAAACACGTGCAGATACACACTCAACACAAATTTTACATACAGCGATGGAGGTGGCGGTAGTGATGGTGGTGGCCGCGGTGATGTTGGTAGTGGCGGTAGCGATGGTGGCGGTGCTAGTGGGGTCTCGATGTTGGAGTACATTTGGAAAAATGAATTTCATAATGAAAAGAAACAATGTGGTGAAATACATGTGTAGTGTCTTGTAAAATCACTCAGACTGACACGTTGTAACAGGTCACCTGCTTACACTTTATTAGCCTATTCTTGCACCAGTTGTAGGCACTCCTATCAATGTTGCTACGGTCACTTGTTAATCAATTCCCACTCTTATCTACGCTACACCTTGCTAACCTGCACAAAACAGCCCTCGTTCTCAGCAGCTCCACACTCAAGGCTTTGCACACAGTAGCTCTTGCTCTCAGCAGCTCCGCACTCAAGGATCTGCACACAGCAGCACTCACACAGAGCTTGCACACAGCAGTGCTCACACAAAGCTTGCACACAGCAGCGCTCCCGCAGCCTACGTTCCCTCAGACCCACTCACTCGTCCGACCTGGGCGGGAAGATCAACCATCACCCGCCCAGCGACTTGTGAGGGTTGAGGTACATTCCCGGCAGCGGCGAGACATCTTCTCTCTCTTGCTCCCCGCAACACGAACCCCCGCTCCGCTCTCCCGCGTATCCTTATATCCCCATCCCAATTGTCCAGCTCCTCCCTTGTCTCTTTAGGGCCAGACAGGCTTGGGCCTGACAGGCTTGGGCCTGTCAGGCCATCAATCACCCCTTATCGCACGTCTCCCTGGCAACACCTCCGTGTCAGCGTGCAACCCCGGACCGACCCCATCTGCACCCGATTCTCCCCTTAACGAGGTGGACGTTTACTCGTGCACGTTGCAAACGCGCACCTGCCTGCCCTCGGCCAACAGTGCGCACCGCGTATTTGACCACACTACACATGTTTAAATCAGTGCATATTACCTGATGGTAATGAAGTGGGGATACCTTTACCCAGCAGTGAATAGAATGTGGCTCACGGTGAATTTGCATAATCAGTAACGGGTTCACACGATGCCTGCAGCCACCCGCGCCATTAATATTCAGAGAGGTTAAAACTATTTCATTTAAACAATTTTTTTACCAGGTAAAGCCCATTGAGCTATTAACTCTTGTTCAGAGTCGACCTGGGTACACATGACAGGGTATCAAAGTGGCTTACATCATCATATATCAGAATATATAGTAGCCACATAACCTAAATGCATGTTTTTAAATTGTGCAGTGCAAAACCAGAGGACTCGGAGAAAAATCCATGCAACCACGAAGAGAACCATGCAAACTCCAAATACTCTCTGGTTCTTTCGGTAAAGTCACGTAGATAGAAAAAATACTCAAAGAACACGACGTTTCGGCCGCAACACAAGCGTCTGTCATCAGGTGAGAAAGAATGATCTGCTGTTGTGGCTTTATACAGGCACGGGAGGGGGCTTTGTAGAGTGGTGGCTGCAGGAGTTCACGGGCGAGAGGGGGGAGGGTTTGTGGCGTGCATGGACGTGTGGACATGCTAATTTCTCCAACTCTACAAAGCTTTCCCCCCCCTCCCGTGCCTGTCAAAGCCACAACAGCAGATCATTCTTTCTCACCTGATGATGGACGCTTGTGTTGCGGCCGAAACGTCGTGTTCTTTGAATATTTTTTCTATCTATGTGACTTTACCAAAAGAACCAGAGAGCATGGATTCCTGCAGTGACGAAACCTTCAAATCAAGAAACTCCAAATACACAGGCATCACGGTCAGGATAGAAGGTACGCCCTTCTGCCTAGCAGGCGAGGGAGATAACATCTCACCACCGTGCTGCACTTTGCACTCCCCTTGATTGGTGTTGTGCTCACCAGGAAGAGAGGCAGCTGGTAGTGCTGGTTCAGGACCACTGCCTGCACAGCACAAGCTCCGGTGAGGCGGCACGCAATGCGCTCACAGCCCTGTGTAGAGGAGTGCACCAGGAAAAGCAGCGTGCTCGAGCCTGCATAACACGCACACACGCACACACACACGGAGTTGTCAACCAGAAGAGCGAGACACTCATTCACAAACAGTCTCGGGGGTAAAACTTTGAAACTACGGTTCAACACAAGCAGACTCTGGTATGGTTTCAACATTAAGCTGTCATCAGCAGTCATGTTCGGTTCAACCAATGCTGGTGAAATGAGAGCTACTTATCAGCAAGGGCTCTGCTAGATATGGGTCCTAGTTCGACACTATACAATACACCACACAAAATAAATGGCTCTACTGACCAGACAGAATATTAAAACAGGTTCAGTTTTGCTTGTGTTAAACCAATGCTGCCAAATGTATGTTCTTCCAGAAGGCCGTGTGGTTAACGGGATGTGTAAAAAATACTTTATGCTCATGTGGAGGAACAGATAGGTGAAGTCAAAGTCTGCTTGTTTGTTACTTATATTTCTTCATAACCTGAATCACTGTTTTACTGCACAGAGGTTGATGCAGTGTTCAATCAATGCATGCACATCTTTAACACAATTGGCCACCATTTACATGAAGCTGGGGCTCCCATTGCAAATACTGTAAAACTTAGTCTATGTTACACTGAGCAATGAGAAGCTGTCACCCTCGGCTGGCACCTGACTACATGTCTGACATTTTTTAGGTATGAACCGAGTAGATCCCTCAGGTCCTCTGGCACTGATCTCTTGGTTGTATGGTCCTCGCCTTTGGAACGGCCTGCCTGAAGATCTGAGGGCATCAGAATCAGTAAATGTTTTGAAACAAAAATCTTAAAACATACCTTTTTAGTTGAACACGTAGGCTTCCACGACCAATATCATCCATAAGAGGTTTTTGGGTTAGATCATGTAAATATGTCGTTAAAACCCGCCACCACCCGACACAGCCAACTAGTAAGGGTTGTCACGTAAACAGAACATGCCAATTTGTCACTAGTACAGCACAGCGGTGTGTTGGAGAGCCAAGCCACAACATTTACAAACTGAGTACGACGTTTCGCCAGTCATTACAACTAGCTTCATCAGGTGACAGCCAGATTTGAGAAGTCTTACTGTTTCGTTCCTTATATAGAGGCAGAGATGTGTTGACCACCCTTCTGCGCTCTTGCACAATGTTGGAGGGGGGAGGGGAGATTACCGAGGCAACGTACATTATGCATGTGCATTATGCGAGCCCTTTTGAACTTGTCCTTCCTGTCTATTGTGTTTATTAAAATAGCCCTACCAATGACACATTTATATATTTACGTGATCTAACCCAAAAAACTCTATGGATACCTTTTTAGATTGCCTTTTAATTTGGATGCTTTTATTACGTGTTTATTATGCATTGTATTACACTTTTAGTTGATTATAACTTTATGTAATTTTGAAATATAACTCTTCTTGTTTACATTGCGGCAGTCCCTTCATTGTCCTGCAAAGCACTTTGTATTGTATTCTTTGCTCGAATTGTGCTATTTAGGTTAAGTTTGGTTTGAGTTGATGATTTTAGACACCATGTCAAAACCAGTACAGTTTGCTGGCATTAAACCAATGCTGCTGAAAAAATGCACTCCTGTAAAGCCATGTCCTCAATGGTATTTGGACACAATTTTTTGCATTTCAGGACCAATATGGGATGGAGGCATATCATTTGCGTTTTCATTACTTGTATATTTTTATTTGCTTCCATATGCCATTTGCTTAAATGCGTGGCAACTCAAAGCACCTTGCATCACATCTCATCTCAAACATACCAAACATCCCTGTGCCATAAAATGTGACTCAACACTGTCCTGCAAGTGGGCATTGGTCTGACAGTTGGGGGCGATGATTGCCATATGTAATCCCAAATGACCAATTTTCGGAAATGTACAATTTGGAAAATTTTAACAAAGACGCCCAATCTTTCTAATGACAGCACGAGACCTTTAACGTCCACTGTGAAGCAAACAGTACACATTATTTTAATGGTTATTAGACAGTAGTGTTTACCGGGTCAGTTGTCGGGCTCGAATTGCGAGCCTCTGCAACAAGCGTGGCGAACACGCTACCGCTGGGCCGTGTATTTGGAGTTTGCGTGTGTCTCTATCTTTCTCCGTGGTCGTGTGGGTCCTCCGGTTTTTCCATCCACATAAGCCACTTAAATGAGCTATCATTTGTGGCCAGGTCGCTTCTAAAAAAGACCTATACAGCTCAGAGGGCCTTACCTGGTAAAATAAAAATTGTTTAGTTTTAGTTTTATTTAGTTTAATTATCCGAGACAACAATGATGCTACTAACGATTATTTTGCATCTCCTCCGAAGTCCCCCCACCCTTCGTTACATCCAGAGAAATGTCTTCTCGGTGCATGCAAGTGGCAGAGGGGCGCTCACCTGCCGGGGGGTCGTCGGCTGGCTCGTACTCGAACTGCACGCTGCATTCACAGCCGTCACCCACTCGGTGGCACGTCATGGGGAACAGCGGATCTAGCAGCTTCACATCCTCCTCAAAGTACTCCTGGATTTTGTCCAACGCCGCACCGCTGAGCCTGCACGCCACACGCCACACGCACCCCCTCCCGCTCTACATTCGGGGCGAGTGCCGCTCGGACGAAAAGCGGCGCTACATGCGATATTCACAACGTGAAGGGTCCTTGCTGCACATTCAGGCTGGCATCCAATGCGAATTTCCTTGTACCTTCACGAACTTTGCAGACTACAAAAAAGGTGTCTTCATCTCACGTTAATGTTTCGACGTGAGAGAGCATCTTAGGAGGAAGGGTTTATCCCCTCGTTCACATAGGTTCTCTCCAGACATCCTGCTTCCACGCATGTGGAAAAGACCACATGTTTGGGAGGATCCCAGGCTCAGTTTCTTGTCCTGTTGAGATGTCTTCATGCACCAGGTAGACTCATTTCTTTATTTTCTCTCAATTACACAAACACTTTTCAAAGCCAGACTTGAGGAATCTGGAATTCAGGATAAGCCTGGAGGGCTTGTGGGAATAAATACACACCTGATTAGAACACCGTTCACACTTTAATGGAGCTGCACATGATGGGACACACCTTGCTTATGTGCACTTGCAATTCTAAAGTGATGTACGTATCTGCTGTGTGAAATTGGGAATACATTCCCTCGGACACACTCTGCTGTGCTATTTAAATATTTCACCAGGATAACGTCCAGAGTTAGAAGGTCTCGCTTATAAAGGTGTCCAGGGTGTCAGGTCAAAAACTAAAAATAAAACGAGATATGCATACAGATTGATCCTCTCTAAATGCATCACGAAAGCAACAGGGCAGGTAGGAAGCACGCAATGACACATATACAGACATCTTACCTCTAAAATATTGTTTTTGTCTGTGTGTACTTCCCGTTAGTCTTACCTATATAAGTATTTTTGTCCGTCTGTCTGCGCGAGTACCTTGTGACGCTTTTAACTGACAAACTGTGGGATTTACGTATCAAAGAAGTACCTAGATACCACGCAATGTGCCCCGGGACAAAAAAGCGCTATTCGTATTTCCCATCCGTCAAGTTTAAAGTAGTTAAATTAACAATTTATTCCTTTTATACGCAGAGGGCGGCGCCAAAGCTGCATCTGCCCATGCACAAGAACGCTGACTCAGTGGGGTGGTGGTGAGAAATTCTTACTTGCGTTCAAATGCAAAGAAAACAACACTGAGGTAAATTCTTCATAGTGTGATGTCCTCTTCTCCCCCACCCCAATGTGTGCAGTTACTACTATAGAGTCGGTAGATACTACTATAGTCCGTTGATACTACTGTAGTGGGTCCAACTGAGTCACAGACGTTTTTTCGAGGCAACATTTTTATTGTAACATCACCCTAACACAAAGGGGTAACTGCCCCTTCACCAGCTACAGCCTAGGTTGGTGACCACCCAGCTAACTACTCTATACGTAAGAGTTACAGCTACGAAGGGTCAGACCCTCACTATGGTCCCCGACCACGTGTTGATGTCTTTTAGGACGTAGAGCTTCCAGCTTGTAGACGTGGAGCTTCAGCTTATAGAATGCAGCGACCCTGGTCCCTCTCAGGGACCCACCTTATATCCCCCGTGGGTCGGGGCCGCTCTGCCCTTGGCTCCGCCCGCCTTCTCGAGCATTCGAGCTCCCTCTCCATCCCTCTCGAGAGCTCTCCCACGACACGTGATCACCCCCTAGCCCTCCCACCTGTGGGCCTCTCTCTGGACACTCCGGATCACATGTCTACGGGTCAACCAGAGTGCCATGGCCCAGGGCAACCCTGCCCCTGGGCTGACACTCTCCCACTGCCCCTGGTGGGAGCTCGCACTACACGCTATGCGTGGTGCCCGTGCTAACCCAGCGCTCACCAAGCCCTGCTAGGGTTGGTACCACACCCGCCCACGTGGTGTACGCGATGACAGTGCATCGCACGCCACGGCTCTCTCAGGCAGGCACCATACAGTGACATCCCCGATGTCACCCCAACCCCCCCCCCCCCCCCCCTTCGTAGCAATCAGCCGTCCCGGCTGCCAACTCCCCCCTCTAAACGAATAAACTATTGAAATGCAAGAAAAGTGTGCCTCAACAAAAACAAATACCCCAACCCACCTGTACTAAAATTACACTATCCACAAATATACAAACCAACAGGGAGAAGGGTGTAAACCAACAAACCCATAACAACACCCCAACAACAAGCAATACAAAATAACGTAACCCCTTGGGATCCCCCTTACCATCACAACTCCCACCTTCACCGTGTAACAACGCTCGTGAGCTCAATGTTGGCCAGGATCAGCCAATAACCGCCACGACACAGCGAGCGCGACAAGCAACTGACAGCGTGGGAGCGTGCGTGCAAGGGTATCACGAAAAACGAGTCTTTGAGCGAGTGCGTGATGCCGGGCCCCCAGGGAAGGTGGGCTTGCCCACCCTGGAGGTCCCGCCCACCCTGGAGGTCCCGGGGGGAATATGCAAATGTTCCACCGAACCCAGCTCCTCACGGAGAGCAGTAGGCCGGGTCGACAAATCCTCCGTTCTCGAAGCCTGCGAAACCGGCATGCACGGCCGCGCAGGGGACATCAGTCGCGCAGCACCTGGGAGTGGAACAGAATCGCTTCGCCCGGGACCAACCCCCGTGGGCACACACCCCGGGTCGCCAGACACACTGGACACTCGGCCCCAGCGATGTGGAGATGAAATGAATACGCGCGGCGCGATAACCGGTTCCAGGCGAGAAGGATGATCCACACCCCGGGATCGTCGTGTGTAAGGCTCTGCACACGCATGACGTGCCGGTGATGCATGAGCCAACACCGTACCCTCCTGGGTGACCGTGGTGTCCAACCCAGCATTAAGAACCTGAATAAAAGGTTCCTGGTCATTGGAAACTAACGTATGAGCTACAATTGCGTACCCCGTAGCACCCAAATCGAGCGACTTCCTCAAGCGGAGGGGAACAAACATCTGCAATGTAGCGTTGGCCGCACAGAACCGGGTAGGGGAAGGCAAAAATGCCACACGACGTCCGGATAGCAATTTCAAACAGCCGCGGTCAGTGCAGATTTCCAATGGCATCCTACCAAGGAAATCGGTTCCAAGTAAACATGGAACAGCCAGTGACGTGGAGACAAGAATGTGTCCCGATAATTTAACATCAGCGATGCGCACCTCGGCCGTTATCCGACCAATGATGCTCAATGAGCCGCCGTCAGCGGTGAAACACAGCACGTCGACAGGGTCTAGAACCCGACACTTAAGGGGCAAAATATTGAAAATCAGCTCCGAAATGATAGTTGCCGACACACCCGTGTCAAATAGCATCCTTATTTCCACACCCTCAATGGACCCAAGCATGGTAGATGAACCCGCGGCCGCAGCCACCATTCGATGGGCCAGCTCCGACCACTGATCCGGTCGGAGCTGACGAACCTCATGATTACGCGTAGAAATCCCCCGTACCGACACGCGATCGGGCCGCGAATCAAAACGCCTAGATGGGTGAGGTGAGGCCAGGGGTCGAGTGTAGAGTGCGTCACGACTCGCCTCACGGTGTAAGGAAGCGTAGGATGGCGGTGATGCCGGGAGGCGCCGTTGTGATACGCGGCAGCCTGATGACATGTGCCCCAGCAGGCCGCAATTGTAGCAGGTAACACGGCCGCCTCCAGAGTGAGACGACGACCTTGGCCGCCGTTGCTCGACTGTTCACCACGCACCATCGCCACGCCGGTCGCCTCCACCCCGAGTTGACGCATATGCAAAAAGGGGCTCCGTTCCATAAAGCGGCCCGGCCCCGTGCGGGACACGGCACACATCACCTATGCCCTGTCCCGTTGTAGAAGTAGCTGGGCTCAGATACACTTAGCGACCTTGATGGACGAGATGTCATCATCTTCGGCTGGAATAATGATGTGGAGGGTTTCCGCCAAGGCCAGCAATCTCTCCAGGACCAACGCATTGATGCCATGGTGGTCCATCTCTGGGAAGGCGGCTTTCGCCAGCACCAAAAGCGCGCTACGGAAGGCGAGGGCCGACTCGTCCTTCCCCCTTCCGTCACGTGGCGAATTTATGGCGCGCGTTCGCCGGAGGCTTGTAAATAGACGCCATCTGGTCGAAAGCCTGCGTGAGGGTGGACACCTCTCCGGCGACGGAATGGCGAGAAATGCTGCAAGGGCGTCGTCGTCGAGAGCGACAGGTAGCGCCCGCAGCGCCTCCGTCTCTGTCCACCCCGCCAAGCTGGCGTTCGTGAGGAACCGCCGCTTGAAGGCCACCCAGTCGCCACTAGTAGCCGCGAACTCTCCAGCAAAGAGAGGCCTACGCTGGAGAGCCGGGATGTCCCTTGGCGTCGACGGCGCGTCTTCAATTTTGGTGGGCTGCGCGCTCCGCGCCGGCAGCTGCGAAATGGCGGCGGAGTCGTAGTCCCCAAGCTGCATCGCAGCTCCCTCCTTCACCGGCGAGACCCTGGGACAGAACTCCACGTGGAGCAAAGTAGCAGCGTGGAGGAGCTCCGTGCCTCCCGGAGGGTTGCCTCCGCTGACGGCGAAGCGTCAATCGCCCGAATGGCGCCCTGCTATGCTGGGAGCATCTCCCCCGCATCTTCCAAAGCTGTAGACGGCACGAGGTCCTCGTCCTCACCGTCCGACGTCCTGGTACGTGATCTGTGATGCGTAGACATAGTCTACAGCTAGATGTATAAACTAGCGTGTTGGCCACTTCTGACACCAGTTGTAGTGGGTCCAACCGAGTTGCAGATGTTGTTCTTTAGAGGCAACACTTTTATTGTAACATCAACCCGCTAACACAAAGGGGTAACTGCCCCTTCACCAGATACAGCCTAGGTTGGTGACCACCTAGAAAACTACTCTATATGTAGGAGTTATAGCTACAAAGGGTCAAGACCCTCACTTGGGTCCCCGACGACGTGTTGATACCTCGTAGGACGTAGAGCTTCCAGCTTGGAGACGTGGAGCTTCAGCTTGTAGAATGCAGCGACCCCGGTCCCTCCCAGGAACCCATCTTATATCCCCCCCCGGGTCGGGGCCACTCCTCTCTTGGCC